TTATCAACAAACCTTGAATTTGAAAGTCAGGAGTACATTTATTATTTTAATCGATGTGAATTATATAATATGAGTAAAGAGAAAAATGAATGAATAAAAGCTCAAGTTGTGTGGTTTACTGTTGTTACAAAAATCTGAATTAAGTTAATTTAAGAAGGGCTGACATGAAAACTACATTAACTGATGACGTTTCAGAGACAATTACGTTAAATATATATTTTAGAGGCATCATTTTCATAATTATCATCTAGTTAGTCTGTCAGTCAAAGATTTAAGTTAATTTATTTGAGTAGTTGGTAAATAACATGCTCACAGATATGTCATGCTGGAACAATAAATCATATTTTTGGCAACAAAATGTACGACACAATGATACCCTTCCACAAATAATTAAAACTTTGTTCTCACTGACTATTTTGATAAAAAATATAAAGATATCTTTAACTGGTTTATTAATATCTATATTTTTGCAATTCGATTTCGCAGATCTTTCTTATTTTAAACTATGAATTCTGTTGAATCCAATAGTTTAAGTTTACAATATCAAAGATGTCCACCACCAGGTTGCAAATAAAAAGTTGGAAAATCTGAGTCTGTGGCAAGAAATATATTGAAATAGTTTATTTATTTTGTAATTTGCAGATATATATTCACCGTTATAATCTGGTGAGGAACAAGATCAAACAAAGTCATTGTGTGTGGAATCAACATGTTCCGATGACATTGATAGGCAGGGACGGATGAGTAGTTAGATTAATGAATAGATAGATAGATAGATAGATAGATAGATATGTAAATGGATAGAAAGATCAAAAGAAAGATAAATAGATGTCAACATGTTTAGAATAATAAATGATAGGTTGAAAGATACAACGGAGACACGACTCAAACTGACAGATCATTCTACATCAGAGTTCAAACATACCAAAGAGTTAATTATTCAAACCAGAGTTGAATATTTTTCGCGAAATAATTTTTTGATTGACCTAAAATTGAATGAACGCGTTTTGTAAAGAAGAATAAACTTTTAGCGGAGTCGGAGGTAAAGAAATCACATGCTCACGCAAAACCCCGTCGTATACTCATTATACTAAGCATTTTTAAATTGGTAAAACAAAAAATATGATTACGCATGCCACTAAATCTTCTTACCTATGACAATGATTTTAAAAACTGGATATTTAAATTTAGATGCAATAATTATTAAGGCAGTTACCATTTGGAATCTGTGCATGTACACATTTGCAATGTGTGTGTGTTTTCCGTCTGTCTGTCTGCAAATTACGTCTTTTACGTTATGAGTTTGAATTGTATTGTTGACGCGATCTGCTCTTTGAACCTCCCCCTCGTCTTTGCGCTTCCTGCCGGGGTAGGGGGGATGAAATACTGCAAAGGAAGGGGGCGGGTGAAAGGGTTGGATAGGATATAATCATGTATGAACTCATAACAAGTTAAAATGCAACAAAAGGGAGTTAAAAATTAAATATTAATCAGGAGTGAAGATACTTTAAACAATTGTATCATGAAGATGTATTGTGGAAAATAAAGGAAAGGAACTGAGTGTTTGCCCAAAGCTCAATTTTTTAAATTTTTTATATGTTCGCAATCTGATGAATTCATAGTTTAAAATATCAAAGGTCTACGGATATTGGGTTCAAATAAACGAGTTTCATGTATACTGCATGGAGAATGAAAAAAAAAAACATTTCATAGATGGCTTAACGAAGAGATGGTAGCAATCAAAAAAAATTATATCAAGAATAGGTGTAAAATATTTACTCGTAAGAAAAATAATTTATGTTAAACATTTTGCGAATAGATCAAGTTAATATCTAGAGGTTCAATGATTAAATCTTGACTTGACACCATAGGATTAATTGGATAAAAAAGATAATCGATGATTCTTTCAGGTTGCAAATTTTCCGTTTTAGTTCAGGGTCACAGGTTTCAGGTTTAAATCATGTTTAACAAAATAGGTTTACTAATTAATAGGTTCGAGGGAAAAGAGATTTTCCGAAAAATGAAAGGAACTGTAACGAAATTATAAACCTTATATTTATTGGTTTTAAGCTTCGTTAATGTATAAAGGTTTCAAGTTCCGTTCATATTCTCAAATAAATTCATGGCAGAGGGTTCCCCCAGCAATACCTCCCTGAACTTGCTAGTCTATACTTAAACTTTTTTAGTTTATAGAAGTTGTCCTTTTTATATATTTTCATTTTTAACGTATGTTCCGACAAAAAAAATATTCAAGAGAAAAGGCGAAAAAAAGGTATTATCAATACGTCAAATTGGTATCAAAAATGACAGCTTGCTGGGATAAGACCCAAACTGTTAAATTCGCGTGATTCTGTCTCTGTACATACGAATAGCATGTGTACAACGTACATATAATATTAGATGCAAAATTTTCTTAAATTTAACCTCTCCCCCTTTAATCCCCTTGAATACTTTATATTCAACTTCAGCAAAGGTGATAATTTATCCTGACCTCTAATGAGTCGTGAACTTTAGGGGTTAAAACTTGAATAGTGGTCCTAGGGATAGTACATCCTTCTTCATAATTCCAGAAGCGTACAGTCGAATAATAAACCTTTAAGCAACAGATGTCCGAAATCGAGGAAAGAATACAAATTGCTGGCACCAGTATGTCTCAGGATATGTACAACATTACAAAACCAGCAGGATTCTCTTCTACTCTCTCCACACCCTTATAGCCTTTCCTTGCTATATTACTTGTATCTTTTAGTTTTTCCTTAGTCCTTTCATCAACTTGTTTTCTTACATCTTTTCAATCCCTAGTTTCCATAACCTATCCAAGATAAATTTTCCAGTCGTTTTGCCTTTCTTCCCTCTCCCTTCTTACATCTTCTAGTTTTCCACTTTCCAATAAATCTCTGTCCAGTCTTCTCTTTCCTTTTATTGTTAATTCCTTCATTCTCTTTTTATCTGCATGTACGTTTTCCATTAAATCCCTTTCTAGTCTTCTCTTCCTGTCCTTCCATCTTCTAGATTTTCCTTATACTATTTTTACACAAAACAGAGAGTTCAACGGGCCAACAAACAAGAGGCTGTAATGTGTTTATACAAGAGTTGGGGATTTAAGACTGAAAGAACAGTTATCTATAACAATTTCTCATATGTAAAGGGACTCTGTGAAGTATGCATGTTCTATACATATATATTTGTAAGAGGTTGATACTTGTACTACACAAATAATTTAAAATTACAGGGTTCAAAATTTCAAATTATCTACGCTCAGCTCAATATGATTAATATTTATTCCTTTATATTCCGACCCAAACTATACATTGTGCCTCTCCGTCTTCTCTTTTATTTCAATTATCTTATTTCCTATCCTGATCACATTTTCCTTTGTACTTCATATTTTGTTGAACATTTCTAAATTCAAATTTCTTTTAGTCCTTCTTTGTTTCTTTGCGTTTCCCCCCTAACAGTTTATCCTCCCTCTAAGGCCAAAATTTCAACTAATATTTCTTTCTACTGAACCGTTTTTTTCTACTCTTTTTTCCATTGGTTCTTCAATATGTTATTTATCTTTTGTTTTTTTGCTTCCAGAACTTATTGTTAACCTCGTCGCAGCAGCTATAAAATTGGTTTTACTTAAACAAATTTCTATTTTTAAATTTGATTTGATTTTACCTTTAGCCAAGCCAACATCAGTTTTTTCGGAGGAAAGTTTGAAGCTCCGAGCTGATAGTGAGCAATCAGAGACCAGATCAAACCCAGAATTAGTTTTACGTTCCCATTCTGGATATCAGTGTTACCTAAATACAGTTTGGGATTAGATCAAACTAATGATGATGATAATTGTTATAATTAAAATACAAACATCTCTCAGTAAATATTAACAATAAAGGAATTGAGTCTTTGCCACAAATTCAAATTTTTTAACCCCCTATCTTAGGAACCTTAGTGTAAACCTTTGATATTTCAAACTTTTAAAATATTTAAGCTCAACGACATTGGGTTTCAAAGATATAGGGATTAGAAAATCAGAGCTTGCGGGAAAGACTCAAATCCTTTCATCAAATTAAAATTTTTTCCAATGATACATTATGAGACTCCAAGTCAAGATCAATAAGTTCCTATTTTTCTCCAAAATTTCATTTTAGAATTAGACAAAGCATTAAGTTGGAAGCGCATTGGAGATGATTTAAAATAAGTATAGGTATTGTGATTAGTAGCAGGATATAGTCATTATACTAATTAGTGGAGGATATTCTTTGAAGAAGGGTGCGCTCTGACGGTGAGAGGATACATTTACGATAATTACAAGGAGGGGGGGGGGGGGGTGCAAGATCAGATTTTGGTTCTTTTTATTTCATTTATAATTTATTCAAAAATCGGAAATAAACATACATCAAAGTATCGTCACTTTGTACGTACTGTGAACACTGAACAGTCCCCTAAGCTAAGGACAACGCAAAAACTTCATTTTTTTTGCACCATAATCTACTACAGTCTTATCTTCGCGTTTTCCTTGTTCACTTCTTATCATATTGGCTCATTATAGAACTATGCCGAACCTGGCTGTGTGTGGTACATATATAAGAAACGGGTTGGGTGTTCAAAATATGAATCTAAATGCGTAACAAACGAAAAATTTAATGATAAACAAAGAAGAGATACTCTAGGAACCCCCATATAATTGTTTACATATTAGTTCACTGGAATTTCTGGGTGGAATGTTAACAAAGCTTAGCACTGTTTAATTGGGTTGATTTGGTTTTCATCACATAAAGCGCAGTACACTTTTGATATAGGGGTTCCTGCTGTATCTTTCTTAGATAAACCTTAACTAATATTCCATTCTGAATCAAATTTAGGAGAGCATATTTAATGTCATTTTGCATATAAAGTTTTATAAGTACTTTATGTGCAAGCATAGCAAAATAATATTAGATTTAATCTGTAAAGTGTGGTTATAAGAGTCCATTCTTTATTTGAATCCCTGTTTGTGAAGTGAAGTATGAAAGAAAACGAATGGCGGATGATATAGAAGAATTTAAACAAAAAGTTTGTTCTGTTCTATTCTTATCCTTGTTTTTATCCGATTCTAATTCTGTCGGACAATGCAGAGTGTCAGATTTTAATAAATTAAAAACTTGATAAAAAAATCTTCTTACAGCATTAGCAATGAACAAAACATGAAGAGTAGGATACAGGTTGAGAGATTAGCGACGGAATGATAAAAGTTTGAATTGGTCAGAAATTTCCAGAAGTATACCAGATATATAGCAACCATATGATTGATAACCAAGACATATTTAAACATAGAAGCCCAAACTTTTTTGTGTTATTGATTCTCCATCGCCGAAAAAGTAAATAATCGTACCATGAAAAGCAGTGTATTTTCTATTTCCAAAAATCTTTTGAAATTGGAATTATACAATACAATTATACAATACAATTATACAATAAAATTATACAATTATACAATTATACAATACAATTAAGAAAGATGAAGAATATAATAAGTCAATCTCTCGGAAAACTGATTTATGTCAGGTTAGGGTGGAACTTAATTTCATAACTTTATAAATCTGGAGTAAGTTAAGATTGATGCAACAATTTTATCATATCTTTCCGTCCTTGACTCTGAGCACTATAATACCGTCAAGTAAGATAGATTCAACTTGTGTATAAACATAAAACAGTGAAGGATCATATCCGTTCTTAATATACCACACATCACACACCAGTTCATGTTAAAATATTAAGTAATTTGCTTTAGACCTGAACTGAGTGATATCCCCAAAAACTCAACCAGTATTTCAGTTAATTTCTTCTGCATGTCAAAAACGTTTAACTACTGAAATATGATAACGTACAACTCACAGTGTTCTATGTCTGCTTATTTTTTAAAGAAGATTTTTCTTTTCTTGTTTTCTTTTGATGAAGGAATGTAGTGACTTAAAAGAATTGTTATTTTGCCACAAACTCGAATTCTCTAAATTAAAAAATCCAAGTTTGAAATATCAAAGGTTTACACCATCAGGTTGCAAATATATATGGATTACAAAGTTTGAGTTTGTGGCAAAGACTCAACCAGAATTTCTCTTTATTTCTTCTGTTGTCAAAAACCTGTTAAAAACTGAAATACGAAAAAGTACATCTCACAGTTTTTTTATTTCTGCGCATTGAAAAAAAAAATTCATCTTATTATTTTTTTTGTGATAAAGGGGTGTGGTGACTTAAATTTACATTGGGATCACCTTGAAAAACTAGTAGATTATATCATAAGTAAAAGTACAGATATTAAACTATAAGAAGAACTGAGATAATAAACCACTCCCTTGCACACTTGCCAGAATTCAGTGTACACTACAACGACTAACTGATTATATTTAGACCAAGAACTCGCCAAAAAAGTGTCTAGGTGAAGTTTAAGAGTTCTTTGTCACATTCTCTGTTTTATGCATCGTGCCTTCATTAATGCCAAATATGAACCATATCAACTCATTACTATGCTATGTATCTATACTCCTTTATATCTAAAAAAGGGGTTTCTTTACACAACTGTATTCTGTGATTTGCTTTGGTTATCTTTGGTTCCTTTAACATTATTTAATTCTAATCCTTATGATCTATAATTCAGCGCCTCAGATCTTATGAATATATACTGTGACTGCTGAATAGAGAAAAGGAGCGAAGAGGATTATTAATGGAATAGTATGAAGATAGACAAATAGATAGATAAATAAATAGATGGATAGAAAGATAGAGGACATATAGTTTAATAGATTCTGTGTGTCTCTTTTACAGAATAGCGAACATGTGTTCAAAAGTATTTTTATTCTTTTCTTCTATAAAGGTTAAGATAGCAATAAGTTATTACATATCTATATTCTATGTACAGAGTGATTCAGTCGAATCGAATTGAATGCAGATTTAAAAAATCATAAAAAATACAGAATACAAAAAAATGGCGGAAATCCGCGAAATGGGAATTTAAAGAACACATTTGATAATTTCATAAATATTGATGATATGAAATTCAAAATAAACTAACCTATATTAACAAGCTTGATCCCATCCTCTTTGATGGCGTCGAGGGCGATGGTGATGTTCTCTAACGCGTGGGGTTGGGAGTTTGGAGTCTTGTTATGGCGAAGACGACGTTTTTGAAGGAGTTCCACTAATGCAACCAACCTGAAATAAAAAGAAAACATGAAGTTCACGTTTCAAAACCTTTTATAATGTATAATTTGAGAATTTGTCAGAATATTCTAAAACTATTTTATTTAAACTTCAATCTATGTAATATTAGGGTTATTTTGTCAGTTTAAAAAATACATTTATCATGTTTCAGCAATGTTAAATATTTTTATGGTGAAATATATTTCGATGAAAACCCTGAGCACGTGTAGGTAATGATCAGCTTTGGCATTATTTTTTATTACTAGCAAAGCGTACGTTAAAATTTTGCACATGCATTTTTTTGACATTATTGTTGGCATAGGCAACAATCAATCCTAGGATAAGTCAAAGCATGTGACAAAACTTTTAATATTTCGTTAAAAGAACTTTTGATTTTAGACAATATGTTATTAATTTGTGAAGATTTGAAGTTTAAACATTTGACAAGAGAAGGTTACAAAAAGATCCCTCGTTAAAGTTTACGAGGCCAGAGAACTGGGTAAAATTGCCTTTTACAGTATTACATGGAACCACAACAATAGACAGTTTAACTAGTTTACTAGACTTTAACTAATTATTCTCTAATAATACCTTGATCTTCAGCTTCAAGCATAACAATATACCTGGAGCAAATAGTATTTCAAGTTTTTTACTGTTACATTATCGATATATGTATTCACCATCATGTATTTAAAGCATACAAGCGTGTTCAGCCACCATTAATATTCTTGGTTAAAAACTTTGCAAAACCTTCCTATTCAAGGGGTTAAGGGGATAAAAACATTGAGGTCGTATTCAGACCAAAAGTTGAACCCGACTCCAGGCTGGGTATACTGTAGAGAAGCGTATATTATATAAAAACTAGAGGGTGGTGCCGACCATAGAAATATGCGAACAAAAAATGTGTAAAATATTCGGGATAAATCACGTCTAATTTTACAAGTCAATAATCTTAGTAATAATTAATTCACATAAGAAAGAGGACGGGCAAAAAATAATTAGTCACTTCTAACCCCCGCTTAATTATAGGCTTATAGACATACGGCACAAGGTATGTTATGTATACCATAGAACATATGAAATAAAATATTGAATAGATTTCATGACATTAAATCTTGAAAATTAGGTTTGACAATATGTTCACGTCTCCCGATACGGTTAGATCCATATTTTTCCAGTTTTATTCGCAGCCAAACAACCGTTTTCTACCATATTCGGTAGTTATTGCATTGAAACATATTTTTCTTGCTGTACGATATAAACTGTAAAATTATGAAAATGAGTTTAAAAATGTGCATTTACAACAAAACATTTGAGGCAAAAGAAGTTCAGAGAATATTTTCTTAAGATCTCAAAATAATAATCTTTGAGAAACATTAACTCGCTTGTCAGATGTAGAAGACTTCAACTTGTTTTAAATTCTAGGATTTATGCAGTTTACGTTGATAATATGTTTATCAGAACTCTATACTTACACCTCATTTCCCATCATTCACCTCATTTATTCTCCACTCCTCAAATACACAACAGCCCCCCCCCCCCCCCCTCCACACACCCACCCCCTACAAAACCTGACCTTGCTCAACGTTGCATCAATTTATATTATTCTTGGATTTAAATCAATAAATTATCTATTTGCTTCCACATTAGTTCACACTTTGCATTTATTTTCCAAAGGACCTGCTCAATTCAGACCATGTTTGTTCAAAATTAAAGAACATAAAATATATACTATTTAAATATGGTCCATCTAGTAAAATTACAATATCTGTAATAAACATCCACTGCTTAAAGGAATGGAGTTTTTTTTCTCCTACTAGACTTTTAGTTGTGGCTCTATCTGTGAGCATAATACAATATACAATTATAATATAATACAATCCAATACAATATAAAACAATAACAAAAAAAAGCTATCGGATTTAATAGTATTTTTAGTGCATTTTAAAAGTTTTACAAAAATCAAAAAACTTGTGGACACAGATTTTTGTAATTTGAGCATCCCTGGGGTCATGTGAGGTCCCACACAAAATTTGGGCCCGATTGGTTCAGCCGTTTTGACGTTTATTTGACACAAACATTCTGTGTAAGGGAAACATTCTGGAGAAAACGGGACTCTTAATAAATTTTAATTTAAACATTTGATGGAGAATGGTTCATTTCGAATACGAGAAATATGAAATAAAGGGCTGCAAACTTTTTATTTTCGAGAGCCCTTGTAAAAGTTGTAAACTATTAAAAATAAAAAATAAGAATGCACTATAACAAACGAAATACCGTTTTACTATGTAATTATAGTAGAATAAAAGAAGGTTGGATTTCAGATTAGACGGTATGGGGGGGGGGAGTTCAATTTTGCGGTTGGAACGCTTATTCAAAACTAATTTTGAAAAATCAATACATCTTTGGATAAGATAAATAACACAATCCTGTATTATATAATTAAGTTATTTGATAAAAATCTATTTTCCTGAACTGCTCCTGCATATGGTACTGTAGCTGATCTCGGTCCGTTCATCATAGAACATCATCATTGGAAGATTATTCCACGACATTTTACGATCCGTTTAAATCCCGTAGAAAGAATAAATCATATATTCAAGCAGAATTAGATACCAAATACACAAAAAGATCTATTCATCACAATGTAATTTTAGTCCGACGAAAGAAAATATTTCTCACAAAAATTTTGCTTTACTTTGTGGAGTTTGGGGATACAGAAGAAAGCATTAAAAAGTTTAGAATATATTATCCAAATCCTGGTTTAAGATATTAAATCTGGAATACCAAAAATTTGATCTAAAATGCTGCATAGCAATTGTTATCTTGTTCACCATATTTCAATTGTAAACGGTTCACGACAATTTTTAAACACAAACTTCGGAATTAAGAACGCTTTCGTGGTAACTGAAAGGCGTATAAATTTTTAATTTAAGAAAAAATTAACACTGGATTTTTAAGTTTGGATCATAAAACTTGCTTAGGAACCAAGCTATGCAGGAAATTCAACTTTCGGTGTAAAATTAAATCCACTCAATTTAAGATTTTTAATACCAAACAAAGAGAATTCCCGTCGTTCTACCGAATTCCACAATCAAAATTTGAGGCCAATAGATAATTGGGTTGATCGTACATCCAAACAGAATAACAAACATATACAAACAGAGATACAACTTTATATATAGGTATACATTAAATGGATACACATTTGTAATTACTTGTGCACCTTTAAGTGCCGTTTTATCGAAAAAAAAATAATGCGACCTACCAACTTATAATTAACCAAAAAAAATATAATTTTTAGACATCTTAAGTTTTCCAAATCTGTTTGAATGAAACTAAAACAAAGATTTCGTTGCATTTTAGATTTACACGAGTGATGAAGCAGTAGCGTAAACTGAAAAGATTTTTTTAATGCTTGAACGATTTTTTACCTACTATAGCTGTGCAGAAACAATGTATTTTGATTTTTGCTGAATATAAATCTGAACACTGAACATAAAAACCGATTTTTCAAACGAAACAAAAACCTCGGCAAAAAAATTAATTTCAATTCACAAATGTATTGGTTCCAAGCTAATAAGCTTTCAGGTCTAAGCTTTTTATTTCCCCGTAGCGAAAAGAAGTTTATTATCCTTGACAAAAACCTGACAGAAGATTTCTTATAGATAAATACTAGAAAAATGCGTCACAGCTTAACCTTCAGTTCCTTTAAGATTGGAGTTTTTTCCTTTATTGCTACATAAAACTTTTTGCTATGAACTTAAATGTTCTTATAGCTACACAATATATTTCTATTTGAATGTGCAAAGATTGTGTGTGTACAGTGGCTGAAAATGGTGTGTACCTATATGATGATGCTGTGCATGAACATTTTTGTGTACAAATGTTGTGTTTAAACTGTGTATATATGTAAAAAGGTTGTGTTTCAACTGTTCCTGTGTATAAAGGCTGTGTTTAAACTGTGTATATATGTAAAAAGGTTGTGTTTCAACTGTTCCTGTGTATAAAGGCTGTGTTTAAAGGGAGTGACCGGCAATGCATGGTAGTTGAACTGAGAATATAGTTTTGTGGAGAATTCTTCTAGCATTCACTTGAGACATATAAAACGTTTTAATGATACTGAGTTTGGGTGTTTTGAGAATCAATTTTTTTTTTAATTATTAAATAACGTCGACAAAAAATGTAAAAAAAATTCGACACTAAACTAATTAGATGATTAGGAATATATTTTTCAGTTAAATTTTCTCAATAAATCAATGTTAGAATCAATTATTTCTTTTTCATCATTCTATTTATATGGAATTTCTTATTCTTAATGAATTTGTTCGCAGATTTCTTTAAATTCTTCAAATGTCGTCTTTTCAATAAAAATTTCAGGAAATCTACAGAAAATGTTTGTGAACAATGAGACATTACAGAAACCAATAACTAAATAAGATTACGTATTTTCGATTAAAATAGAAAACTTTTTTTTCAACTAATTAGTTTACTGTAGAATCTTTAATACATTTTTTGTCGTCGTTACTGAATAGTTAAAAAAAAAACCAATTGTCGAAGTCATCCCTAAAAAATGAACAATCTATGAAGATTTTAAAGATTTTAAAGATTTTAAAGATTTTATTTGCGCTCTTGCTGAAAAAATATGCACAGGATAAAACGTCTCAGGAGTCTCAAATGATTCATAAAAATGTCCCCACAATAATGCATTCTCAGTTCACATATAATACATTGTCTTTCACTCCCTTAAACATGTGTTTATGTATGAAAGTTGTGTTTGAACTGTGTCCGTGTTTAAAGATTATGTTTGAACTGCGTAAGTGAGGATTGTCTATGTGTTTTGAAGGTATGCGTGTATTAAGATTGTATAAAGAATGTGTGTGTGTGAATGTAAATATTCTGTGAAGGGGGTGTTTGTGTATAAAGATGGGGTGTGTGTGTGTGTGTTTAATGTGTATCACAGGTGTAAGGTTAGTTTAAGTATAGGTTCCGTTATCCTGGTTTCCTGGTTC